AAATACAGATCTATAATTCGTTTCGTTTTTTATACTTTCGATGGCCTACACTACATGAAGATCTGACCGGTTGTAGTAAGATCGTACGGCGGGCTTTTGACTCTATGACGTCAGCCATTGATTAATCAATCACCGTTGACGTTTCTATTGGTTTACCCATAATTCCGTGCATCGCACACCAAGAAGTCGCCGTAACAGATGGTTTCATTAGCTAATCCCTTACGCCATCCAGAACGCAGGTTATATAACAACTCTTCCAGATCCTAGTGTAGTACAGACAAATAAAACGAAATTTTGAACTATGCAATACGAAACGAGAGAGAGAGAGAGAGAGAGAGAGGGGGGGGGGGAAGATGAGGTTTAACGTCCACTCGACATAAACCAGGTCACTTCTGGACCAACACATCGTTCAACTTTACTTCAACAATTCGCCCGCGTGGAGGGGTCCTTAGCAGTGGGGGGAAACCGGGGGACCCGGAGAAAACCCACGAGGTTTGACAGGCGACCCTACTCCTTGTCACGTACAACCAGGAATTCGAAACCACGCCAGTTGACTCAATGGCAGACCTTATGGTACAGCGTGCACGTGCTAACCATTTGGCCATCCAACCCCCCGAAACGAAATATGATCTGTGTTTTAATCAGATTGGAAGAAGACTAGATACGTACCTTTCAAACTGTTTTACATCAGAGTCCTTGGCTGTGATAATTATTGTATATATCCAACGTTGATCGCAACGTGTGCCAGGACACCAATCAGTCTGAGTCCAAAGAGACAGATATCAGATAAACGTGTAGGCAATAATCGTAGAAGAGAACATATGTTTTGAAATCAGGAATACTTTTGAAAAAGTTGCGGGCCATATCAACAGAAACGAATTTACATCACAAATCCATACGTCACATCTTCGTAATGAGTCACAATCTACTGTTAAAAATCAACCCTTGTAATGGCTCTAAACTGAGCCGAAACGTTAAAAATGTTCTCTTTTTTAATCCTTGCCTTCACATCTATTTTGAAGCTGGTGAAAATGCCAACCTATGTGAATAGTACTTCGTCACATTAGCGACTTTTGGCCAGCGGAAATTCCTGGTCCATAGTCTGAAATTCCCAAACTTTTAGGTACATGTAGTTATCCCCCTTTATCACAGACACGTGATACAAACACGTAAATTATAGATTCGTGTACAGACGTTGAAAGCTTTTTTTAGACGATTAGACGAAAAACTCACGGAAAACCAAAGAAAGGCAAGCTCACTAGCATAATGGAAGAACAAAAAGTAAATTAAAAAGATTTGGACTAAGATGTGATGTGGTTCAGCAACCCAGGCATTGAACGAACCTTGGAAAGCGCGCCACTTGGTATTCGCGATGATATTTTCTATCGAGGAATCTGAAAGGTTCCCAGCTTGGCCAGGAACCAATCGAAATTAGTGCTGAAAAATGTTGGGTACGTGAAGGCCTTGATAAGATGTACGGAGTTAAAGCGAGATCAAGTCTTCTATTGAAGATGTTGGAACCCAGACCGGCGCTAATAACCTGCAGACTGGTGCCGCGGGATTCCAGACTGGTGCAGATACATTGTTAAAATTATTTTGGTTATTTTACCCTAAAATTACGGGCAGCAAAAGTTGCGCCTAAATCATAGGTAAAATTACACCATTATTTATTTAACAATTTACTGTAGAAGGACATATCTGTTAATTTACATTTCTTGTAAAAAATACATCACATTGTTAATTTACATTTCTTGTAAAAATACATCACAATGTTAATTTACACTTTTGTTAAAAATACTAATATTGGTAATTTTACATGCAAGATTCGAGCAATAGGCCCGGTGTAAAATATTTCGTATTAATATCCCTTCAATATATATTGAATATCGATAATCCTGTTTGGTAGACGAGAGCATGGTTCCAGGCTTTCAGATGTAAACTCGCGGTACTATCTATTTGCAGGCATTATAACCCTGCTTTACAGACAGTCCGGCCCAACTAACACTGGCCAATCGGTTTAATTTACCGTCTTCAAGTGAACTTGAAAACGAGATAATACAACCTACGGCCAGAAAGTCAAAACATTTTTTTTTATGCATTTAAGAAAATACTTACCAACTGATTAACGTACGCTAAATATCAATACACTTTATACATGTAGATCTTATAAATAATGGAAACTAGATATACATGACATGCAATATACTAAGTTTACAAGATGTGATTGTCCATATTATGGTTAATAAATTGAAATGAATACCATAAGAAGATAATTATTAGGAATTTTTCGTTTCTATGGAATACTAAAATACAATAAGAGATAGTAAATTTACCGAATAAGTAAATTTACCGAATAAGTAAATTTACAAAATAACGTGAATAAACGCAAGTCTGTAAAATGACATGCTGGCTATGTTATTTTCCGTTCAATATTTTAAGGTAAAAACAAATTCTTTAACTGCTGTAATTTTACTTATATTTCTTACCTAAAAGTAAAGTACATAATAATGTGAACAAACGTAAAATCTGTAAAGTAACACGCTTGCTGCGTTACTTTCAGTTCAATTTTATTACATTATATGTATTTTTACAGGATTTTGAATATGTCTTTGATTCCATCGCCACTTATTGTCAAAAAGACATGAAACTCGATAAACATACTTGAAATTCGGTAAAAATACATTAGACTTGGTAAAAGTAGTATATGTTGTAAAATATACCGATAATTGAGGTACAAAAAACCCTTGTACTACTGTAATTTTACACACATTTCTGACAGTTTACCTGGTGGTTGTCGTAACATCATTTGCTATTTGGTTGTGGACTTCAACGGTCACTGTTAATTGGTTGTGTGTTGAGAAATGTTAACAAAAATATTTCAAAGTTTGCTTTCATTACCGAATAAAACATTTCTGTGATTTCAACATTTTACGACAACCAATTTGGGCTACGGTACATCTTCCAAAAGTCTAAATACACTGAACATTACTGTATTTTGACGTTACGTATGTAAAAATAAATTATTTCACGGTAACATCACCTGTATAATATGTTATTTTTACGACTATTTGTACTATCACTCCTGTTTGGTGTAATAAAACATACATTTGTAAAATAACATACAACTACGTAAATATTTTACCACATTCTTACGGTAAATTAACATTTATTTCTAACAGTGTAGATCCCAGACCGACGCCAATTAACCATCAGTCCGAGGTATCATCTTGACAAATTATATGGTCGAAAATGTCAGTACAATATTGAAAAATCAGGACCGGCGGCGCCATACGAGGCCTCGTATCTCGTACCGAGCCACATCGATCCTGCGTTCCGATGGGACGAAAAACCGAGATCCCTTGTACAGTGAAGTAAAGGTAGGCCGTTGTGCCGCTGGCCGGGAAAATTACTCTCAAGGCACACTGTATGGCATATACCAGCCTTCATTATCCCAGTCGGTGCAGAAAAGTAGGACGTTAAACCCCATTTCATTTCATATATTAAATTCGTTTACAACTGGATTTATGATTGTTGAGATTGTTAAAGATTGGTAGACAGACGACGGGAACATTGGATCACAATTTCGGATTTAGATGAAGAGATTCCCCAGGTTATTCCAGTTATGAAGTCCCTCAAAATCCCCCACCCTCACGACTTATAGAGGAAGATAAAAGTGTGTTTTAAACGTACGTACGTGTAAGAAAGGATTATCACAGTCAAAAGATACCATATACACTTTTGGTAGGAGGCCCGCTAGATCTTGAGGCCACGGACTTCAGCCTGCCAACTCTTGCTAAATCGGACACTGTTCACAGTAATAGGGCGAACAGCCTATAACAATATATATATGTCCTGTCTCTTGTGCTTTAACGTATGCACCCTCAAAAGTATAATATCGCAGACAAGGTGGTGATATCCCGTACTGCCGTTTCAAATAGATCGTTGTTATAAGAATGTTTAGCGACTAAAACTACATGTATATGATTTATTTAAACACATTCTATTGCAACATTACCTGTAAATGAGCTAAAATCACTATATAATTAACAAAATTGTGTATATAGCCTACCACGTTACAGAAACAAGAGGGGGGGGGGGCGGGCTCAGTTGCTCAGTGAGTATAGGGCGCTGGCTCGGTAACCTGGGTGTCCGAGAAAGTTCCTCAGAATTATCCGGCGTGGTTTTTCCTTGTTCAGGTGCAGGACAAGAGGGGCTGACAGGAAACAGTGCCTAAATTGTCTTTCGTAAAAGAACCATGGAAGTTGGAATGATCAGTTGTTGACCGGGGAAAATTTCTTTCCCTTGTTCAGGTGCTGGACAAGAGGGGTTGACAGGAAACAGTGCCTTGTTCGGAAAAGAACCATGGCAGTTGGAATTCAGTTGTTGACCGGGGAAAATTTCCCTCATACTCATAGCACACTATGGCGTATGACCACAGCTCCGTATAGCATAGGTGCAGAAAAGTAACCGGTTTCATTCAGACACAAGATGTACGATTGTGACGTTAACGAGCCTGTCCTTGTTTGGTAAAATAGAATATATGCTTTGTGATGTGCAATCCAGCATCTACCTAATTCAACTAAACTCAGGCACCATTTACTTTACGGTTTGTAAGATAATTTAAGATTACATTGTATTTCAACGCCCATTTCAAGCTGCATACAATTCATTAATGTAAACATGACATAAAATAAATAATACTGCGTTTTCTTCATTCTAAAGCGAGATTAAAATCTATATAATATAATTCGCCCTCAAACGCAAGTTTACAAGTAGTTGACGTTTTCACCATGCAGTTAAAAACTTTATAATTTGTAAGAAAATTACTTTCTGTCTTTATCAAATGTCAAATATTAAAACGCTACAAATGACCCAGAAATCCACGAGACCGCGAAGATGTATAGACTAGAACAATTACAAAAATAACGCTTTTCTCTGGTTCACCCTTGTCTCTCGGGTCCATGCGTCTGGATGAAAACATCTAGTACATGTAAGAAAGGTGCGTGGTCACGTGATTATAAGCGCGCGCTGAGCACGCTGTTTTTCGCCGGCCATATTGTCGTGAATAGCCGATAAATTGCATCGAGAAAGGATAGAGGATTTGCTTAGTATACGAATATCATCATGGAATCCAGGTCAAAAAAAGTAACGAAGACAACTCATCATAAGTCAAGATCAGGTGGAGAGTCCATGTCGAGTAGTTCAACTTCAATTGGAAGTACACCACGAAGCCGAGAACGTCCTCCTTCGCCGGTTCGGATAACGCGACATGAAGAACAACAAGAGTTGCAAGGGTTGAATGATCGTCTGGCTGCCTATATTGACCGTGTCAGATACCTAGAAAATGAAAATAACCGTTTAAATGTTCAGGTGCGAACATCTGAAGAAGTTGTAAGAAGGGAGGTCTCAAAGGTGAAAAGTTTATTTGAATCGGAATTGAATGATGCTCGTCGGTTGTTGGATGAAACGGCGAAAGAGAAGGCTCGTTTGCAACTTGAAGTAAATAAATATAAATCGGATTACGACGATATTTCTGGAAAGTGAGTATTTTTGTCTCGAAGTGGTCATTTATTCTAAGGACAGTAACGCAAACGAAGTCATACATTATATTTTGTTTGGGTGGAGTTGCATTGATAGACTGGGGACAGTGAAATGATGCGTTGTCAAGTTGAAATAAATTGGCGTGGGTGTGACCATTATGAATAACAATACCGATAACAGTTATTCACGTTATCGTTATCACTAGTAGTAGTATCAGAAATGCATCATAGTTTATAAGTACTACTATTAGGGCGGTTCATGTTAAAATTGAAAACTGAACTAAATCATAATATTGCAAACATGTTATAAATCAAATAAATAGTTAATAAACAATAAGCTGAAAATGTACATCCAGTCCTCCACAGGCTCCAGATTAAATTAACACAAATTCCTTCCAATTCGCTGGTAGTGGTTGGTGTAATTTTGTGCATAAAATCCAATGCATAATTAAATATCCCAACGAAAAAAAGTTCTCTCTTGGCACTGTTGCCCCATCGAACAGGTTTGTGGTACATTTACAGGGATGTGCCTACCGCCCAGCACTATTTTTTGCCACCCAGCACAAAGAAAAAATCAAAGAAAGCCGCCCAGCCATATTTAAACCCCTTCGTCCTTCTCTGTACACAAACTCAGGGCTTGAAATTTACCACTGCAAACGGCAAAGCCATTGTAAAAGCCAACGCAAACCATGTCTGCCACGGCATAATTTATCTTTTGTGTGCCGTAGTAGACCCTATCATCCCAAATTAGTTTAAAGAAAGAAGGATTGGTATTTTGTTTATTTATATTTAGAAGTTGTGTAGGTCTATTCATTTTACAATTCTACTGTCTTTAAATTTGTAGATTTGCCGTAAATAGGTCACCCAGACCAATTTACGGCACTTCAATTAGTTCAATGTTAAAGGTTTAGATCTCATAAAGCAAAGGGTGTTGTACATGTACTTTCGGTTTTACGGTCAATTTTTAATGTACTCATTGGTGTCAAAAAGTTTTTAGATCCCTGGCAGTCTGTATCATTGATGAAAATTATGTGAATTTGGTAAAAATTTTGAATATATACTATTCAAAGAAAGTAGGGGATATTTGATTTTTAAGTGTTATTAAAGTCACCTAATGAAACTGACGAAGAAACAAATGACAAAATGAAATGAAGTTCACATTCATCGATTTATTCCAAATGATCGTTAGACTAAGTAAGGCACAGACTGACCATTATAAGGGTAAAATGATACCCGGGGTCAAACAGCAAAGTTACCACAGCATCACAACCAAGTCAGTAACGGGTAAATCCTCCTCTGTTTGCCAAAAAAGCATTGATCCGACGTGGCATACTCCTAATGAGACGTCTAAGGTCATTTTGGTCCAGATTGTCCCATTCCTGTTGCAACGCAGCAGCAAGTTCTTTGACATTGGCAGGACGTTGTTAACGTTGACGTAACCTCTGTCCAAGCATGTCCCAGACATGCTCGATGGGGAAAAGGTCGGGACTCAGTGCTGGCCAAGGTAATGTGGTGATGTTCTGTTGTTGGAGGTAACCTGTAACGATCCTGGCCCTGTGACATCTTGCGTTGTCATCCTGGAAGATGAAACGGCGGCCATGACGTCGTGCGAACGGCACAACATGGACTGCCAAGATGTTGTCCCGGTAGTACTGGCCTGTAACACGCCCTGCAACAACATGTAAAGCCGTTCTTCCAGCAACAGTGATGCCTCCCCACACCATAACAGAACCACCCCCAAATCGATCATGTCTGATGACGTTAACGTCTTGGAAGCGCTCGTTTCGACGACGCCACACCCTCCTACGTCTGTCCAAAAAATCAACAGTGAACCTTGACTCATCTGAAAACATCACATTGCTCCAGCGTCGATTATCCCAGTGTTGACGATCCCTACACCAATGACGTCTTGCCTGAATGTGATGATCTCTCAAACAAGGGATCACGCGAGGACGTCGGGCGCGAAGGTGACCCCTATGCAGTCGATTCCGAATCGTCTGGCCACTCACTCTCACACCAGTGTCTGTTTGAAGACGAGCGCTGATCTGATTTGCTGTGATGACACGATTTCTCAAGGCCAAGGTACGGATAAATCGATCCTGGGCTTGAGTTGTCGCCCTTGGTCGACCTGAGCGTGGTCTGTCCTGTACAGATTGTGTATCACGGTATCTGGACCATAGCCTGCTTATGACACTACAGACTGAGAAACATTCATCGTCCGCGCCACAACCGCCTGTGTTGTGCCGATCTGTAGCATGCCAAGGGCACGTAACCTTTCATTTTGGGTAAGCCGACGCATATCAAAATTTGTTTTCTGGTCACTAAAACAATTAAACTGATGTTTCCACCCTGGAATTCAATGCCACAATGACTGTAACATTCAAAGTCAGAGTCGTGCAAATCTTGGGTTGGACCCCCATGATGATCCCAAGCATCACCTGCATTCCATGCGGTAGGTATTGGTGCGTTTGGGCGTCACATGTAACTGGAAATGTTTCTTCTGTTAGGTTCTATAGTGACTTTTTTCGTAGTCATTTGCATATTTTAGTATTATGCCCCCAAAATCAAATATCCCCTACTTTTTTTGAATAGTATATAAAAGACCACGCCCCCCCCCCCTTAAAAAAAAACGTTTGAATACATCACCTTTACACACTAAGGATGGTTGACTTCGAATTTCCTGAAAATTGGACCAAAACTGCCAGACAAAATGGCTGCCCCTCGTACGCAAATCTCTAAGCGTAAAAATATGGTATATCAAGGTGTGGACCCTCTAGAGGTCTTTTGATTTTGATGAAACTTGAAATGAAAGTTTATAACCCAAAGATCTTGGTTCCTTTCGATATTTGTGCATATCGGATCGTAACTTCCTGAATTATGCCCCCTAATTGGATGAAAAATTGCTTTTTGTTTAGCTTGTTCTCTATCCATCTCTTGCAAAATGTGGGCGTATCCTGCCTGGCAACCGCTAAAGAAAAATGGCGTAGGGAACCCATTTTGTTCAAGGGAGAGAACTTGCAATGAAACTTAAAAAATCGTATCATGCTGTTGCACGAAATAGGTCCATAATAAATTTATTTGTTTTGTTTTAAATGCCAATCAAGCAGACCCTATCCACCAGTTTGAAATATACGTTCACTTGTTTTTGTTCAATTGCGTGCCATTATTAGAACGAAGGTTGTGAGGATTACAATTTTTTGGAATGTGCAGTGGTAAATCTACACGAAACCTGTAGTCTCGTTTTCACGTCAGTTAGCAATCTCGTGTCAACAGTATGGCAGTTTTTAATAATGGTTCAATGTACAGTACTCGCCTATTCCGATCGGTAGATGCAGATTCAAAGAACGATGACATTTATATTCATTTATAGCAATTATCCATAGTTCTATAGTTTGTTCATAATCAAAGAAATCCATTTAAAAAATAGAAAGGTTCAGACAGTAGGGCTAATTAAACATTGTAATGGCACAACTTTTGTTTATCTGCATATACATGTATGTCAGTAAAGTTAATCGAGCGGTGTTTTTAAGCTACATGTATTTAACAAAATTGGATCACAATTACGGGGCCTTAGTCATGCGCGACCCATATACCTGTCTTATATTTAGCCCCACCTTCATGGCGTGAAAACGTCACACCTATTACATTTCAAAATTTCCTGCAAGTCCTAGTTATGAAAGATAAGTAAAAATGCATTGACACTCATCTGGTCCTCTAGTGAAATAAGTCACCTATGAAACCTTAGCCACCCATTGTTTTGTATGGAATGGTATATAATATAATTTTTGTTATCCTGTTGTCATAGTAATCTGTGGCAGCCATATTGCTAACAGGGCATTCCTTGAGGATGAATAATGTGTCTGCAAGAGATTGTTTCATGCTTTCGATTGGGCTGTTGTGGGTGGATATAAAAATAGCTTAAATAGGTTGGGTTACTGAAATAATTACTTGCAGATTTATCACTTGTGAAATTGTTCAAATCAACATAGATTATTTTATTGTGGATATGAACCACATACTTGGAAACTACAAAATTGGTGTGAGAACTGTGTAGTGTACTTATTATAATTATATTACTATGGTATCATGTTAGGTTCTGGGCTACAAACTGTACATTAAATAAATTGCTATCATGACCATGTTCTGTCAGAATTGATAACAGGCTAGTAACATGTAGATTAATTAGTACTGGTCGAATTAATCCTTCAAGCCAATACATCATCATTCATATGTTTATTCATAACTATGAATTAATTTAATCACTTTGTTAGTAACTTGACTTTAAAAGAGTTCACTTTTTATATACATAAAATTTAAAGAGGTTTTATCACTTAACTCATTGTAAAGAATCTGTTATAATACATGTATCTCCAGGGGTGCACAATTTCACTTTTGAACCACTAGCCCATGGGCAGGTGTCATGACAAAATTTGCTAGCCCTACAGAAAAATACACATGCCCTGAATATAAAATAAGGTTGTTTTGTTTTTAATTTATTTTAATGACTAAACATAAAAATAATAACAAAGTAACAAATATTTAAGCATCCAAATGTTCCAATACTGTCTCGTATTGGATGTTATAATTCTAATAGACAACAACCACCATAAACGGAGGGATAAAAAGGAAAAAAATATCAGAAAAAGTTTGTGTTGTTCTATCAGTCCTTTTTATAGCTACGGGTTCAATTTACCCTTGCAAACTCGTTTTTTCTCATTCAAGCGTATACCGTATTGAAAATGAAATATTACAATACAAGAATACTACAATATGAGTGCTGTCTCAAAAAATGGCCATTAACTAAGTCAAATAAATAGCGTTTTTTTCGGATCATGCGATTTACGGACCACTATGACACAATGTCATTCAGTCTACCGGTACCTCTCAATATAGTTAGCATTTTTATACGCCCACATTTTCATGTGGACGTATATTGTCGTCGCCTCCGTCCGGACGTCCGTCCACAATTGTTTGTGAACAGTCTACAGGTCACAATTTTT